ATGCAGAAATATAGAAATAAAGTAATAAAATATAGAAATATGAATGAGTTATGAATGAAAAATGAATGAAAAATAAGAAATGAAACACAAAAATGATGATATAAATACAACTTAAATAACTTAATGACAAACAAACGATGTCAATTGCTAGTGATAACAACAGCACACAAATGTGTTCCTTTACAGGAGCACCAGAGCTTCCACCATGTCCAACAACACCAGAACCAATAAATGAAGAAATAAAACCAAAGAAGAATAAAATGAATAATAAAGAAAAGATTACACATTTTATTAAAAGACAAATGAATGATAATGCAATTGAATTAATGATTGACATACTTGAAGAAAATGAGAGATTAAGAAAAGAATTAGAAAGAAATCGAATGTTATTAATTAATGAGAATCGAATGAATGAAGAGATTAGAAATGGAGTTTTAAAAGAAAGAGTTAATCTTCTTTATGCTATTCAATGGGAATAGAAATAATCTAATTTAAATACTTTTTGAACTAATTATTTTTAGAATGGAATATTTTGAAACAAATCCACAAGATATAAATAGTATAGAAGATGAAGAAGAAGAAGATGAGATTGGAATAGATAGAATAGAAGAAATGATAGAAGATAAATTATCAGAAATTAAAGAAGGGAATAAAATACAAAAAGTACATCATCAAATCTTCTTTTATTATAATAGTTTGAATATAGTATTAGGGAAACAAGGAACAGGAAAAACAACATTTATAATGAAAGAATTAATAAAAATGAATCATATAGAACATTTATATGGAGCTATTATTTATGTAGCACAAAATGCAGGAGAAGATGAAACATTTAAACAATTAAAAGATTTAATTAAAACACCAATATATGGAATGAATTATGAGAAATTTATGCCAGCATTAGTGCAATATTATAAACAAGCACGAGAGAAACATTTATTAATTATATTAGAAGATGCAACATTTGCAATGATGAAAGCGGATAAAACATGTTGAGAAATTATTACAAGATTAAGACATTTGAAAACAACAATTATTGTGAATATGCATATATGGAAAAGTTTAAATGCATCATTTAAAACACAAGTAGCAACTATTATTATTTTTAAAGGATATTCTAAAGAGAATTTTAGTTATAATTTTCGACAAACAGCAGGAAATTCAAGTGGAACAGTAGCATATTATCTTTATTTAGGAATGGATAAGAAACAAGTATTAAAAATAGATAATTTAACAGGAGATGTTAATGTTATTAAAAAATAATTGAATTAAAAATTAAAGTGTGATTTTTAAATATTTTGAAGTATCATCATCATGAAGAGGATCTGGATGATATTTTCCACCACACCATGTAATATTTTGTTTTCCAACATTAAATTTCCCACATCTTCCATCTTCTTCTGACCAATCTCTAACATATACCCATATATTTCCTAAACAATTAGGAATAACTTTTCCATTAATTAAATGAACAATTGCTATAGCATTGATTTTTCCACCAAAGAAAGAATAATTATTTAATGAAGATAATGAAGTATAAACTAAAATAAAAGAATGAAGATTGAAAGCATTTGGTTCATTGTGAGATGATTGTTTTGTTGTCTTCCCTCTTTTTGTTCTTCCAAGTGCATTAAGATCATTAATTAAATCTTTTAATCCAACAGTATATTCTTTTTTAACTGTTTTTCCAACTGACCAATAAAAATCACCAACATTAAATTGATTTTTCTCTGATGATGATTTTCCTGTCTGAATAATAATTCTTCTTTGAAGTGTAATAATAATATTTGATACTAAAAGATCAATAGTATTTAATGATGATTCATTATCAATTAAATAAAATAATCCATCTCCATTGAATAATTGAGAAGAATTAAATTGAGTTAATTTTGATATGATTGCGTTATTTATATTAATAATTGATGATTCTATTGAACGCTTAATAACTTTAAAATTTGCAAGTGCGGCTAATAAAGCATTTATTCTTGTTTCATTATCATCAATATATTTCTTTACTTCTTGTTTAATTGCTTCATACATATTACCATGTTTATAATCAGTTACTGAATTTGGAATAGATACATAAACTAAATTTAAAAATCTAGGAGCACTAGATAAATTTGATGAAGATTTCATAAATAGTTTAATATAATTTCTTATTTTTGATTGTGAAGAAAGATTTATATTTGTATTGTCTGAATGAAAAGATAATTGTTGTGAATGAGGATAATCATATGAATCATATGAATCATCCATTACTATAGATTCACTAGAATCAGTATCACTTACCATTGATTGACTTGAACGTATTGATCGTGTTGGTTTTCGTCGGATTGTGTTTGATTCATTAGTAGGTGCCCTAATTGGTTTGCTATTCATCTATAAATAAATAGATCAATATGACACATTTATATTGTCAACGACATTTCACTATAACAAGAGAAAATGCAATCGCAGATTTTAAAACATATAAATGGATAATAAATTTACCATGGGAATTTATTACATCAGAAAATTATCCTAAAACAATAGAAGTAATGAATTTTGTATATTTTAATTTGAATGGACAATTAGATATTGGAGTTAGTTGTCATGCGTCATTTAATTATGATTCACCAGAAAATGATCAAATGATATGTTTTTCAACATATGGAAATATGACACCAAAACATTTCAATATTAATAAAAATATAACAAGAATAGAAATATGGTTTAAAGATTATAAAGGAAAGAGTATTTTCCCAGTTGGACTTTGGGATGAATATTTTATCTTAGAACTTAATTTACATTATTAAATGGAAGCAATTGGTTCAAAATATTTAAATAAAAATAATATTTTAACAACACGTTATTTCAACAACAACACATTTTATCTTGATACAATTAAAACAACAGATGGAATAACAACAATTAATGTTAAGAATATAACAACAAATGAAGAAATAGATGAAATGAAAGAGAAAATGAAAGAAACAAATACATATATTAATGATATTCGAGATGATGTATCGCAATTATCAACATTAAATACAACAA